TAGACTGGCTAATTATTTCTCTCCATCTCTCCATCTGCTCTACTACAGAGGCAATTACTACAGTAACCAGGACTCAGACCATTCGAGCTTCTATTTTCTAAGTCATCTTTATGTCAAAGATGGAGCAGAATACAAAATCTGAAGAGGTGTGAACCTGTACCTCTGAATCATATACAGTGTTACAAACCAACATTACCTCAATAAAGAAAATGCAATCAACTTTACTTGTTCATTTGCTTTGTTGATGATCAAAATTCAGATGATGTGAATTGAATGGGTGAAAATTTCTTCATAGTAAATAAGTTTTTATGCAACTGTCTACTCTCATTTTAAGGAATTACAATTTTCCTTATAGTCTTCTGGATTATCAATTGCTTTTTTCTTCTTTCTGTAAACTATGCCTGGATTTTCAGAGTGAAATCTATGGGACATTATTTCAAAGTACATTACTTGAATATATTTTGATAGTATTTTAAAAAATTTGTTTATTCATTATTTACTTATTCAGTTAATATTTATTATAAAGCTAGTATATGCTTGGCACTGTGTCGAACTCAAGATTCAGGGATGAACAGTACATTTTGTATAAAAGTCTTGAGAGATGTCAGATCTCCAAGAAAATGTAAGTAGTTCTCTATGCCTTGATTTTAACCTGCAGGGGAAAGTAAGAGATGAAGCTAGAGAGAAAAGGAAGATTAAGTACAAGAGTCAGATTAAGATTTCATGTGGGGGCACAGTCATCAATACTCTGAGAGAGTGAACTTCAAACTAGGCCTTCCTACCTGTAAATGAGTCTGAACTTTATTTGATGAGGTAGGATTAGCAGTGTAAAAGCAACAGAAAGATAATAAAGTAGGAAATATCAAAAAGCATGAATACTGCAATATTTTGGGTTGTGCACACACGTGTATATATACACTTATTTATACAAGCACAAAGAATTATCTTTAAATTATGTGTGCATGCGTGTACATGTGCGTGTGCTTGTGCGTGTGTGTAATGTAAAGGTATTTCATATTGGGGGTCATGATCAAAACCAGTTCTATAGGAGGAGTTTAGTTAGAACAAGCACAGTGGACCATAAGCAAATTAAACCCTTCAGAAGTCGGCAGTTCTGTGATTCTGGTCCATAGCTACAGAGACAGTGGCAATACTTTGTCTCACAACTCTTAGATTTGGGTGACTAAACTGCAGGAATTGATGATGTGATTTATAAGGAACTCAAAAGTTGAAAAAGTGATTAACCTGCCATTCATTACTAATAAAGTAGAAGTTTTTAATCCATCTTGCAATGGGTGGTTATGAATGGGACTGTGGCAATTGCCAACATCTCGATTATGTTAACAGGCCTAAATGGCTGAGTGAAGAATGACTATTTTATACTTGATTTTCAGCTAGGATCCCTAGTTCTCTGTTTTTGTGACTTCAGTGGAAACAGAATTGTTATTGGAGGGAAAATGCATCTTGTAGTCTTTTGGATAATATACATTTTTTGGACTGTGTTTTAACTACAGAGCTTACTAACCTGTAACTTCATCACTCAAAGAAATTGCTTGTGAAGCAATTCTGATTTTGACTATATTTAATTTGTTTTCCCCTATCTCCTCCTATAGGATGTGGTTGAGGTGAATAAGGTAAGATCCAGGCTCACTTGTAGCTGCTTAAGAAACATGTTGGACCAAAAAAATAGAAACTTATAGACTGCATATCAATTGCATGAAGAACAATTTTGTTTTGGTGTAGGAAATTAAGGCAATAATACATCAGATTGTTTGAACAACCATTATTCTACAATTTGGTTGATAAAGGATTCTTTCCTTTATAAAGCTGAAAATATCTATTCATGTTTCTTTTTTTTTTTTTTTTTGACCAACCTTGGCATAAATACTTCAGAGTGGTTATCATCATTAGATACTTTCAAGCAATTACAGCTCATTAGACCATTTTCTAAATTAAAGAATGTTTAAATTTTTTTTGACACATGAATTCCCTGTTTCTTTCACTAAGTCCTTTCTACAAGGATTTTTTTTTTTAAAGTCACTATTACAACACAGTGACAACAAATAATGGTCAAATTGTTTTCAATTTTCAAGTTCCATTTTTAAAGATAAAGATGTCTTGTCTTTATATGAATCATTGAGATCTACACTGTATAACAGGGGTGAGGGTGATGGCAGATATGGGTAACTGAGAGAGTGGGGCCCATTCATGTCCAGAACAGTAAGCTCATATTCTAGATAATAAAGTTGTATAAATAAGTTAAAGATAAAAATGGAAAGCAATAAAATAATTACAACAAAGCATTTGTTTCTAATCCAGTTGGCAGAGAATTACTATAGTTTTTTTATGCCAGAATCAGATGTAATAGAAATGGAAACAGCAGTGGTAGCAAATTGTAATAGTAGGGTTTGGATTGTGTTATCCTAGAGTTAACACACACAGAAGGAATGCTGACCTTAGTATTCTATGTTTTAGAAATCCACCCTCTGGAGAAAGGTAACAAAAGAGAAGTATTATCAAATAAGTTTACTTGGTTAGACGCAATAGCTGATTGACAGGTAGCTTGAGAAGGTAAGGTATCTGAAGGAAGTTGGGGGCTCAGAGGATTGGTGTGACGCTGGAAGGATAGAACTGCAACATGTAGGGCCCACATCCAGAGACGTGCATCAGTAACTGAACAGTGGTCTGTTAACACTGGTGGCCTGGTGACTGCATGACCTAATCTGGTGAGCACGTGACTGTACCACCTCAAGCTGCCCTTCCACCTTCATTGCACTCTTAACATTGGAGAGGAGCACAGACAGGTTTCTGCTATTCTGCTATCCCTTCCCTATTAGGAGCTCTTACCTAACCTAACATGGGGGAGAGTTTATGCACCAGAGGAGATTGTGTTTCTATTTGGGAATGCAGGTGGATGGTGGACAATCAAAATATGACAGCCATTCTAGGCAGGTTCTGAGAAACTCAACTCTGATATTAAAAATCATGTACTCTCATTAGGGCAAAAGGGAAGCGCATCCCAAGAAAACACTATAGAATTCCCTATACAGGGAATTCTGGGATTATCCCAGTTTCCTATTGCCATTTATGGGAAGAAGTGTCCCAAAGGACACGTTCTTGCAAAAATAGCTGAGACCTCTACAGTTCACAGAGGGCAGGCTCTCATAAAAGGAGCCACCTGAAGAGTTCAACAGAGAGATTACCAGAACAAAGTGGTGAAAAAGAATGGTGGAGTTCTTGACAGACATTCATTGAAGGGCAGAGAAAAAGCAAACTCTTCAATGTCTACTTTGTTTCAGCCTTCTAGACCTTGAAAAATGACCTCAAATTACAAGGGGCAAAGATAGTCAAATGTACATAAGATCTAAGATAAACGAACAGCTAGCACAAGAGCATCTACCTATTTTTAAAAGAACTCAAATCTTCAGCCTAGACAAATGACATGCCATAATGTTGAAGAATATTGGAGACATGATCAAGGAAACACGGAGAGTAATGTCCAGAAAGCTGGTTGCAGAAATGTCAGAAGGGAGGAGTAATTGGCATATGCTACTGGATTCATTAAAAGGCTAAGGTGACAGGTAATGGAACTACAGCTTGGTGCAAAAGTCTCAGGTGGATTATTACACAGATGATTTGTGAGCTTGTGGACAAGAAAACTGCCACATCGTGCATTGAGATAAGTGAGGGTGATGTAGTGGGAAGAACTGAGTCAGTGACGCTGTGTAGACCTGAGCAAATCACTTAGCTCCTCTGAGCTATAGTAGCTCTAGCTGGGAAATAAGTTTAGAGAACTGGATGTCCTTTAGTGGGCTGTTTAGCCACAAAAAAAATCTATAGGAACAAATGTACCAAATTTAGCTCAATTCTTTTAATCAGACTGTCTGATGAAAATAGCTGCCAATACGAAACTATACCTTCTGTGGTAGTAGTTCAGCAACACTCACATCAATCTCTGACTGATGGGTTGGGATTGATCCATTTTTTACACATGATGAAATTGAAGTTCACAGTGGCTAATAAATGAGATCAATCAGGATCATCGTGTAGATCCTGACTGATATCAGGGAATCAGCTGGCAAATCTCCCATACTATTATGATGGACAAGATGATTTCTTGTCTTTAGAAGAGAGAACACTACAATGGGTTAACGCTAAATGGGATAACAATACAAAACCCAGGACAGAGAAGGTGAGGAGAGGATTCTGCTTTTAGAGAGCACTTGCAATGGCTTGTATTCCCTGAGCTTATGATTCTGTGATAGTTTAGAGTAATTAATTTTGGGGGAAAATAATTTGGCAGTAATGAGCAAGATGGATTCAAGAGCCGAGATGTCACAACAGGGGTTATAAATACAAATGGCCAAGGGCCAGAAGAGAGTACAAACATTTTTAATATTGGCAATGCATTCAAATATTTTAAAACATTATGCAAACCAAAGGCAGCTTGTTTGCAGGCCAATTTTTGCCTAGGGGGTACCAGTTGGAGATCTCTGCCATACCGAAAGTGAATCAGTTAAGAATGTGGGGAGTTTTGGACAGGACATCAGAGGTAGATAAAAGATAAAAGAGGACATCTGGAAGTCTTTGATGAGAATCATCCTTCTGCTGTGATTTGACAGGCAACCAAAAGGGAAGGCAGGGGGAGAAAAATTACTCATTTAGAACCTAGGAGATTACTTTACATTGACTTTGCTCTTTTTCAAGCAAGGTCACACTTACTTTTTTTTTTTTTTCCTATTATCATCAGTCAGAGACTTACTTGCTCTCTCATTGTCTTATTATGCATAATTATATATGATTTAGGAATTTCGTATCCATTTCCAGAGAGAAAATACCAGCCCAGGCAACCTCTCTCAATTATGTTGTATTTATTACATAATTATAGTCCTAAGACTTTTGAACAGAAGCCCAGAATTACCCCCAATAATTATGACAAAGAGACAGCTCAAAACCCGAATTCTCTTTTGCTGGCTAAGAGCTCCTGTTTCCTGCTCTAGGTGCCTTCGTTTGCAAGCTGGTGCCATTCGTGCAGTCCACCGCTATTGTGACTGAGATTCTCACCATGACCTGCATCGCTGTGGAGAGGCACCAGGGACTTGTGCATCCCTTTAAAATGAAGCGTCAATACACCCACCGAAGAGCCTTCACCATGCTCGGTGAGGCCACTGGAGAGACCACAGTGCTGATGCCATCCTTCAATGCAACACAAAGAGAATTTCTTCCCAAAGTACCAGATTTATTCACTAGAGGAGTAGATTCTCACGTAGCTCCTCGGCACTAGGGTGTAATGTGAAGGTTTCAGGCCTCTCCCTTTGTCACCCTCTGCGCATCTCTCCTTTAGGCCTATCTCAGTACAGAGTCTCTCACTGCAGGCTAACCTTGGCAGCTGAAGTCTTATCCTCTCAGGCACTACTTCAATAGATCTGAGGCAAGCTCTCATGGCAATGCCATCCTAACAGTCATTAGATTAATAAATTCATCCCAAGGGAGGAAGTCTAGCAGCTCTGATGTCCTTGTTAGGGCAGGGACAGTCTGATAGCAGGCAGGAAAGTTGTTTGGAAGGTGGAGTGCACAACAGCAGAGACCAGCAGCCCATGAGGACAGTGGGTACCATGTGCTGGAGATGCCTGGGAAAGATACGTTCCACCCATTTCACGGCTGTGCCTCAGGCAGTCCCAAATCCTCAGCCTGCTCTCGCTTTTCCTGAGCGAGTGATGAGGAGCAGATGTCTAGAGACAAACAGTAGACTTGAAGCCACGTCCCTAAGTCTAGCACAGTCTACCAGAAGTGTTTCTCCTTCCCAGCATAGTGAGGAAGCCATGACAACCTCATGTGCAATACGGTGGTTTGGATGTAGTGCGGCTAAGAAATCAGAGGCACAGGAGCCCCCCCAGTGGGATAATCAAAGAGCAAAACTGACTGATGTCCCACTTGAGTGGAATGAGCAAATATTTATTCCTGCAGAAAGAATTTAGCCAGCCAAGGATAGAATCATCGAATGAACCCCTGAAGGCTTTGCCATGCCAAACTCATTTTAAATAGTTTGAAATAAATCAATAGGGGAAAAGAAAAAACTTCATTAGATTCAGTTAGTTAGTTTCAAATTTATGTCACATCCTCCCCACAATGAATTCAAAGACTTCCCGGCTTTTAATAATTGATAACACTCTAACATCTGAATAGCTGAACCGAGCGTTTGAGTGTGGAAGATGGGAGAGCAAGGAATACACAGAGGAGAGGAGTTATCAAAAAGGAACGAGAAGTAGAAGGAGTCTCAACCTTTGAAAGCAAAGTTAAAGAAGGTTTTAAATCAAGGAGGTTCATCTCCCCATGGGGATTCAAGCACTGTTGCCTAAAGCCTCTCCCCCTAGTTCTGGGACACTGGGAACCGCTGTGCCCACATGCCCTGTGCCTCCTCCTGGCTGAGACTGCCTTGCGCTAGACCTCGGCCTTCTAGAATTCCTGCCGGAAGCGGCCACAGATTATAGTGGTAATGTCCACCTAACCCCCATGTTGCTATCCCCAAACAGGCAGTGGATCTAGGAGGCCTGGCAATGAATTAAGTCAATCAGATGCGATTTCTCCAAAATTTCTATGAAAGATTGGAGAAGAGATTGGATGTAAGACAACAACTGGATGATAACGAGGTGGGGGCAGGGAGAACTTACTCATGAATCCTAGCACTCCCTTGAAACACTGAATTGTAAGGACCTCATGGATCAGGTAAAGTGATTGGGGTTTTTATTTTTCAGAAATAGAACCGCCGTAAAGAGTCTTAAACACTTAAAATGTGTTTTGGGAAGACTATTCAGCAGCGACTACGACAACAGTGACGGGCTAGAAGGGAGATCATGTGAGGGGCCACCGCACTGCCCCTGGGCAGAGACGACACCGTGCATTCAGCACAGGGAGTCTTGCCGGGGACATGATTGAGCATGGGTGTACTGTGCAGCACTGAGTTGAATTCTGATGATTTTAATGTGCTTCCAGGTGTGGTCTGGCTGGTGGCAATCATCGTAGGCTCACCTATGTGGCACGTACAACGACTTGAGGTACTTTTGGGACGGGGATTCATAATCATATTGTTGAAATGTCTTTCCAACTCTCTTCATTATAGTAATTTCCTTCCTGCAGAAGCATTACAGCGTATTTGTACCATCTCAGTTATTTCACTGAGATTTGCAAGTACTATACAGGATTTTGTTTTAGATTATTTCCTGTTTTATCTAGCACTTTCTTTTTTTAATATTTTATTTTATATAATTCTTACATCATTTTTTCATTTTTGCACAATGCATGCATTTTCATTTGGTTATATTCCCCATACAATTGCACCCCACCCTTATTTTGACCCTAATTCTTTCTCTCCCTGCCGCTCCCCACCCCGTAGTGTGTCTCTGGTTTATAGTTGCTTGTTGCTTGTTGATTTTTACTTTGTATTAATTAGTCTTTTTCCTGGTCCCTTATTTAGGTTTTCTAAATTCCTGCTATGAGTGAAACCATCCGGTATTTTTCTTTTTCTTTCTGACTTATTTCGGCAAACATGATCCCTTCTAGCTCCATCCATGTTGCTGCAAACTCATCTAGCACTTTTTTAATCTTATATTACGACTTAACAATTAAAGTGTCAGGTTTACTTTCTACACTTTCTGCCAGTGAACATGACTTTTCCTAGTATCCTCAGGGGTCTTGTTATGATTTAAGGTTCCAGTGGCTGTTCCAGAATTTTATTTTTAGACTCATAAAATAAAAACTGTAGTTGACTATCTACTTATTAGTTGAGTCTCTCATTTAGGTTCTTTCTTAACTTTCTATTAATCAGTAAATTAAAATTCCAATTGTAAACACATGAGGGGCTCGTGTCACCCAGCCCAGCTTCTCACACCTTTCTCAAGGGGCACAGCCCACTTCACTGACCCGCAGTGATGGGACTGTGGATTTCAATGACCTGGTTCCCCACATGGGCACGTGTGAACATGTCTTGCAGAGGAGATGATGCCTAGACAGCAGTCTCCAAAGACAGTTGGGTTGGGGGGTGCTTACACACCACCTGTGATAATTTTTAAAACCATATATCCTTTTTATACCTTTTAAAAATGACAAAGGCAAGTGCAAAACTACTGCCATTCAATGTCCATTGGCAAGGCTGTCCAGTGAACCCCGAGGCGAGGCCACATTCAGAAAGTGGCTGACTTTTTGGCCGCTGCTATATTGAATGGGCTGCACTGCAGATCAGAGCAGACAGTGACTCCATTCTATCCTGTTCTACCTATAAAAATGCAATCTGAATACTTCCCAGTCCTCTGATGACATCCTTTGGATGAAGTCTTGAATGGGCCTCCACCAGTCATTCAGATAATAAAATTCATCTGGTCACATTCAGTCACACGAACAGTACTAGGGACGCCATTGCCAGCTGCTGCAACATGAGTTCGATCCCCAGCCAGGGAGCTACCCACGTGGTGCAGCAGACCTCCCCTGACTCACCCGCTGCTCCCCTCAGCAGTGTATTTCAGTCAGTCTGCCTGTTCTGTTCCCCTCTCTGTCTCTGTAAATCCTCTGAGTCCCCTCCCCACCACATACCTCTGGTCTATACCCCCATTCTTGTACGCATAAATAAATGAATCTTTAAAAAAATTAGAACAGTATTAGTTCCATTATTAAAATGTCTAGTCCAGCATCACAACCCCATACATCAATAATCCCAATTTAAAACATCCCTTTCCCCAGGTTGTGACATCTGTAGATCTAGAATCCTACAATGCAGAGGGGACACATGACCCTCTTACCTCTGCCTCCTTGCCTTGGGATGCTCTCATGCCTGATCAGTTGGCTGTCTCTGACTCAGTTGCCCTCTCTGACTGATGTCATCAGACTCATTCTTTACCTTAAGGGTTTTCCAAAGACATCAATACTACCATGAAAGCTTCCAACTGCTACTCCCTTCACCTGCCTCTCAGGCAGGTCCTTTGGGATCCAGAAACAACTGCCGGTGGCCAGCTCCTTTTTCTGAGGGCCTCTTACCTCCAGCAGGAAACCCGTACTCAGGGACCCCTTTCTTAAGGACCCAACACAGTTTCAACTTATCGGGTCCACTTTTGTTTGTCATAGAACACAAGGAGATTTGTCTATTTTTAAAAATAAATGTATTTTATCATATGCTCTGAATATATTTTAAATATTTAACTTGCTTAGTTTGTAGAAAATGCACATAATCTAATTGGCAAAGCCCATTGTAAATTAGACAGACCAGCCAAATCAGGTCTGCTTTTTAGGTAAGATTTCATTTTTGAAATCAAGTGAATACACTGATATGTATTCCATGGCCACCTTCCCTCTCTTAAATTCTATTAGCGAGAGTGTATACCACGGTCTGAGTTTATCACCTGGATGGCACCACCGTTTCTCACTAATGTTCTCCTTTGTTCTCACTGGGCTCTTTCTCAGAAGTGATATATTTTACAATTTTCAGGGAATCAAAGCAAGGGACAGTTAAACCAGTCATCACTTCTGCCCCTCACTGTTTGAAAAATGTCCATTCAGAACATCTCAACATCTGTCAAAATACCTTTCTTTTTTTAATGCCAAGCTTTGCCCTGGATGGCAGTACACGTAATATAAGGAAAAGCACAAAGTCCTATCGTGGAGGTGGGTAAAGGTGGGTGTGTTGATCAGGGGCTTTGCTAACATGAGAACTTGAATCATCTCTTTTTCTGGTGCCCATAGTAAGAGTTGAGTTGGGTGAGGGATGGGATTTGTGTCCAGTAGGCAGGGATCATGAAAAAGGACCAAGGAATGGGGCCAAGCATTACACCTGAACCTCTGGCATCCTTTTAGGCAGTGGAAGTTCGGAGGCATGCACATTTGGAAAGAGAAGGGCTAAAATCAGCTTCCATCAAACCATCCAAACATGCCCTCAGGAAGCCTCAGCTTGTCCCCAAAGCAAGTTGAACCCTCCTGGGGGCTACCAGGCTAGCTCTGTGCTCTAGGACATGCCCATATATGGCCCTGTGGTTGTCTTGCAAGCTTTATGACACAGTCTAAATGACATTGATGTCTTGTCCTCAGACTTGAATATTCATACCTTTGATGAATATATTAAAAAAGTTCTCACCCACTCCCACCCCATGCCATTGGTCTTGAAGATTGGTGATAAAATTTTCTGGGAACGAAGACAGAAATATGTCTATGAGCTAACAATGCTTCATCCAGAAAGCTCTAGAACAACTAAAGTGACAATTGTTTTCATAAATTATCTATTTTTTATTGATACTATTCAGATAAATAAAATTTTAAATATATTTTAAATGTTTGGTTTCTTATCAGCTTTTTCTATTAACATTATTATTAAATATTTGAATTCATGAGTCTGACAGAAAGAATATTAATAACTAGACATTGGCTTGCTGTAAGATGTGTAACTGCAAGGTTTAGAACTGAGCTTGGAAATGTAGATTGGCAAATATTTAAATCACAATTTCTACTTAGTTTCAGAATCTAAAAGTTACCAACCAGCTGCGTTTTAAAAATCTTTGCAGTAGTCTGATTGCACTTGGCAATATCTGGAACAAAATACAGGTTTTCAGGACTTATCAGGTAGAAGAAGTCTGATGCCTTGTCAAAATTTGTCTCCTCAGCAACTGAGGAAGCAAAATAATGTAATACTAAACTAACTGGCTGGCTTATGATACAAAACTTTTTTTTTTTCATTGCTCATTTTTTGGGTCCTGGTTCCAATTGAGAATTTATGATGCTATGTAAAAAGTTGAGAAAGACAAAAAATGAATAGGCTACAGACCTTAATTCCATTTAAAATAGAAAAGAAATTATGCAACAAATTTAAGCAGTGAAGTAGAAAAACCACATTTTGCAACAGAATAACGATTACATTGTATCTGACTTAAACTATGTAACCATATTAAATATGTAAGAATTTGAAAAATGGTGCATTACTTGGAAGTTTTCTGGTCTTTTCATGCTGACTACTGGCACTTCTAACTGAATTATTTTTATTTTAAAGATTAAGTATGACTTCTTATATGAAAAAGAACATATCTGCTGCTTGGAAGAATGGACCAGCCCCGTGCACCAGAAAATCTACACCACCTGCATCCTTGTCATCCTCTTCCTCCTGCCTCTAACGCTGATGCTTATCCTGTACAGTAAAATCGGTTATGAACTCTGGATAAAGAAAAGAGTGGGAGATGGTTCGGTGCTTCGAGCTATTCATGGAAAAGAAATGTCAAAAATAACCAGGTTGGTTTAATGAATTATTCACTTCTGTGGGTTTTTTTTTTTTTAAGATTTATTTATTTATGCATACAAGAACTGGGGTGCAGGCCAGAGTTGGGGGGTGAGAGGATTCACCAGAGACATGATGGGGAACAGAACAGGCAGACTGACTGAAATACACTGCTGAGGGGAGCAGTGGGCAAGTCAGGAGAGGTCTGCTGAGCCATGTGGGTAGCTCCCTGGCCAGGGATCAAACTCGTGCTGCAGTGGCTGCAGACAGCTTCATAGGTTGTGTCTTAACCCCTCGCGCCACCAGGTAGGCCCATTTACTTCTGTTTAAACTAGTGTTAATTACTTGTGCTGGCAGGGACATTTGCCGGGGATCTCAGAATTCCTGGACAATTAAGTCAGTGTCATGTGAAATTTATATTTAGGCTATGGGCTGACTTTAAACTTCTGAACTTTTATGCGTGGGCAGGAAGAAAGAGCAAGACCACCAGCTTCCAAATGAAAGGGGAGCCATTAAGAAACTTTACTGGGCTTTTGGAAAATGGTTACGTCTTTGTGTGTCTGACAGCCACAGAAGGAAGAGGAGGGATGCCTTCCTCTCCCGGACACACACTAGCTAGACAAGGTGGGCAAGACTCCTTTCTCCCAAGGCCTCAGCTTTCCTCATGTGTACCAGAGATGTAATAACCTTCGTCTTCACTTCCTTTCAGCCGCGCATGATGCTAAACTATGTGGGATGGCACGTAGGAAGAGCCTCTGGAAACTACTGCATGCTGTTTAAATTATATTATCGATATGTTTATTTTGATCTAAGGGTTTTAATTTCTGATCAGTGTATTATTAGAAATTTTAAAACACAGTTTCCTGCTATGCTATTCGTTTTTATAATCTGCACTGAATAGCTATTAAAAACAAAACCAAAAAAATCTTACAAGAATTCTAATGGCTTCATCATTTCTTTAAGTATGCAGTGACCTCTAGTGCCCAGTTTGGATAAATAAATCATTGCTCTGAACTTCTAGGTGCGGGACTGTCCTCCAGCACCTTTGGACATGTTGGTTTAGCTCTTCCACTTCCTTGGATGAAAGGGTTACTAGGGTGAAATAAGAAATAATGAATAGGACTTTTTTTTTTACTCAACTTAAAGCACCATGCAAGTGTGTAGATCTTCTGCAGATGTCCATCTTCTTTAGAGGAGTTTCTGGAGAAAACAAATTTGATTCCTGAGCTAATGGCATTATTTAGATACATAAGAAAAGATCACATTTAATTCTATCCTTAGGGTTTACATGGTTCTTAAATATTGATATTTTTCCATCAAAGGCATGAGTGTGCTTCAGTATAAAATGAGTAAGAGCTTAGGCACTGAAGTTAGACTCCTAAGTTTAAGTCCAAATGAGCCCTTATGAATTCAATCTTACTAGCCATCTGACTTGCAAGTTACTTAATGTTCTCAGTGCCTCAGTTTCTGCATCTGTCAAATGGTCCATAGGGAATATTAGTGACATAATCCTTGCTAAGCAGATGGCAGAGTGCTGAACACGCCTTGTTTATGAGCAATACAGGGTGTTACAGCAGAGAATAGCAATAAGGAAGGATGAGAAACAGACAATAACTAACCGATCATGAGCTTCATTAACATTTGAAAAATTATGGTTGAAAGGCTCAAATTCTATCGAACAACTTTGTTATTGATGCTACGCATTTGCCGAGTAGCAAGCTAATGCAGTGTGTCCTGACGGTGCAGGAAGAAGCAGCGTGCTGTCATTATGATGGTGACGGTGGTGGCCCTCTTTGCCGTGTGCTGGGCACCTTTCCACATTGTTCACATGATGATTGAATACAGTGAGTACCTGCAGCTCTCGTTGGATGGAAGTTCTAGTTCATTTCCTGCTACAATGGACTCTGAGTCATTGACATTTGTTAATGTTCTCTTGGGAACAAATAGCGAAACACCCAATCATAGATGGCTATGGTTAGATTTTCAATAATAACAGAAGGTAATGACATGCTTTTGAGATCCTAGTCCATGTGATGCCTTCTGTTAAGCCACTTAAACTTGGGGAGGGCTCACATGCCATCACCGTTTCCTGCTTGCAACTCTGATTGGACCTACTTGAATTTCATAATGAGGATGGTTTCAGCTAAAATGTTGGTGTATTCTCTCTGGTAATCTCAGACGTAGCATGACACTCAAATGACTGTGTTTGTTTTCATTTGAGTGAACCTTTTGTAGGACAATTCCTGCTTCCAATTTACACAAAGCTTGGATTCAAGTTGAAATACAACAAGCCCCTAATATGAGCTATGCCTATAATCATATCTTTTCTAAGAATGGAGACATCTTTTTTCACCCCACATGCCAATGACTCTTCCCAAAATGGTATTGAGATTTTTTCACACCTTAAACACTCATACAAGTGTGAGCATTTTTGGTAAAGATTGTTGAGAAACAGAAATTTTTACTTTTTTGCTCAATGAAAACATGTATGCATTCTAAAGTACTGCTTTCTATCTCAGGTAATTTTGAAAAGAAATATGATGATGTCACAATCAAGATGATCTTCGCAATAGTGCAAATAATTGGATTCTCCAATTCCATCTGTAATCCCATTGTTTATGCATTTCTGAACGAAAACTTCAAAAAAAACTTTTTATCTGCAGTTTGTTACTGCCTAGTCAAAGAAACAGTGTCTCCAACACGACAACATGGAAACTCAGGAATTTCAATGATGCAGAAGAAAAGAGAAATTTCCCGGAGAGAAAACCGGAAAGAGGAGACCAAAGGAGAAACATTCAGTGATGGCAACATTGAAGTCAAATTGTGTGAGCCACCAGTGGAGAGAAAACACCTCAAATGACATCCTGACCCATTTATTTCTGAACTTTCTACAAAGTGGATTCTAATTTACCAGTGTCTTCATTATCACCATACATATATAAATTTTAAGAGAGAATTATTTTAAACAAAGATGACATTTTATCATTTAAAATGATGAAGAAACCTTAAATCATTTTCCATAAAAATATGACATCACACACAAAAACACATTATTGAAAACTTAGTAAGCCATCCTTGTAGATTATAAAAGTGGATTTTGAAAAAAATCTCACATATAAATAAATGTTTTGGGCTTCTGGTTTTTATTCCTATATGGCCACAGTAATGTGACATTCTGTATACTGCTGAATTGGGAGGAGATGAAAAAATAACTTTCAAAAAATTGTATTTCCTTGCAGAGACTGAGTCCTAGGCCTTGCAAATCTTTTCTCCTCTCCTTCCTGGCCCAAGGCCAATCCTGTAACCATATTCCTCAAAGTTGCATTAATTGGAACTGGAGGCGCTGGAACATCACTTTGTGTCATACACCTGGCTTTGTTCAGTTCACATGGCATTTGGGACATAAAGAATAACCTAGAACCCTGGAACAAACAGGGTCCCAATAATCAATATCAGTTCTACTCAGTGAACTATACTGGATTCCTTGGCTGCTGTTACATTTACAAAACTGTGTTAACTCAGCAAAACCTAAGTGTAAACTATTTTCCAAATTACTATTTAATGAACTGGAAAAAGCAATTAAAAAAAGAGATTTCAAGGTAAAAGAGTATTTAAGAAGTCTAAAAGTATATCTTGTCTCCAAAAAGAATAGGCATTTCAAATACAATAGTTTTTCACTAAATTCCACCAACCTGAATGTGTTCACAAATAACTATGGAATAATTTCTTGTTTAAGGTATTAACATTTTCCCCCTCCCTGCTGAGATCCTATTAGAATAAAAGAATAACATAATATATAAACACACAGTAGTGATGAGAGAGGGTAGTCACAGCGGATGAGAAATTTCAATAAATTTCTTGAAAATGAAATCTAGATGGTGCTTATCAGCATTATAATCATATAAAAAAAACAGCATAGCAAGTCACAGGTAGAAGGAGGGAATTATTTTTTTCAACAGAATTCCAGAGATTCAGGATCTTTTAGATACTCTCTGAATCAGAGAGGAAGAGAAAGTGATGCCCACAAAAGAGAAAAAATTACTGATGATTTCTCTACAGAACACTTAGTCAACTCTAGGACACTGCATCATTCACTTTGTAAAGAATGACCCTTGGAAAGTTTACCTCTCAGTCCTTAACACTTCCTCCCTCCAGACACAGGTTTCCTCTGGAAGAGATAGACACTTCTCCAAAGAAGATATACAGATGGCCAACAGGCACATGAAAAAAATGTACATCCACTCTTATTATCAGAGAAATATGCATCAAAACCAAAATAAGATACCATATTACACCAGAGAGAATGGTCCATATCAGAAAGATCAGAAAGTTTTGGAGAGGATGTGGAGAAAAATGTACCTAATGCATGCTGCTGGTATGAATGTAGACTGGTCCAGACCCCACAGTAGACAGTATGGAGGTTTTTCAAAATATTAAAAATACATCTGTCCTCTGATCCAGCATTTCTACTTATGTGTAAGAGTAGAAATTCTACCAAAAGAATGAAAAAACACTAATTGGAAGGGATATTTGCATGCCTATGTTCACTGCAGCACGATTTCTAATACCAACATATGGAAACAATGTAAGTGCCCAAGGACAGATGAGTGGATTAAGAAGTGGTATGTATACACAATAGAATACTGCTCAGTGAAGGAAAATGAAATAATGTCACTTGCAAAACATGAAGAGAATTGGAGGGGATTGTGCTAAAGTAAAATAAAAGTCACAAAGAGGAAGACAAATTTTACTTATATGTGGAATATAAAAAACAAAGCAAAGGAACAAATAGACAAAAACACAGTCTTGAAATGTGAGTACAGAACTGAGTCTCCCAGAAAATGAGGGGTTTGGGGGTGGTATTGTGGTGGAGGACTGTGGGTGCTTTGGTGGTGGGTGCATTGTAGTAACATATATCTGAAGAGGTGTGGACTTGTACCCCTAAATCAAATGCAGTATTGAAAATTAGCATTGCCTTAGTAAACATACTTTTAAAATAATAATTTAGAATTTTTTTTAAAAAAAAATTTAAGAACTACAGCATTTAGAATGACCACTGGCAGAAACCTGAGTGTTCTAGAATGCCAGAGTGCCCAACTGTGATGACCCATCACCCCAAATCAACCACTTACTACCCTTAGCCCCTGTTCACAGAGCTCTTGGTCAGTTTCCCATTTTTGCATTCTTGAAGGACTCTTAGACATTTTACAAAACCCTGAAAAATGAAGGTACAAGACTAAGAAAATGAGGTAGATTATTATGCCCTAGAGTAGTAACTAATTCAAGGGAACAAAAGAGCACTTAGAATTGAATTTAATTCATATTCTCCAAGAGATTTAAGATGTTGTTTTTGTAAATCCATAAATAAAGCATGCTACGAAAGGAACAATTAATCTCTGGGAAATTAAAAATAGCTGAAATTAAGAAAAGGTAATTTACTCATCCTTATTTTCCATATAATTAGTAGGAGAAACAATAAAATTTCCTTCAAAAATGCTCTCTGAAGTATGTTTTATGACAAACTTCTTGAGGCTGTGTTTATAATTCAGAGTGCTGTCTGGAGACAGATGGAACATTCAAACTCAGTAATTTGAGGCAAGATGAACAAAGGAACCATTAACAAAGATGTGAGCAGGGTATAGAAAAATGAAAGGGTTAGTATAGTTCCAGCTGCTGATAGAAACAAGGTTCTCTTCTCATCCCTGGGCCTGAAGATGAAAGAGGAAGAATGGGAGAAGGAGAAAAACAAGTAATTGAGAGTGAGCAGGCCAGGTTGAGCTTGCTACAGAACAGGAGCCATGATCTTGGGTAGACCAGGTAGCCAGTCCAAACTCCCCCTTAGCAGGGGTGCTATGGTCATAACTACACAGACTTGACTCTTCCTCCTCTCATGTGTCTCTGGTTTGGATCCCCAGATGCAAGGAGCCCCATAGTGTAGGAATGGGCCAGAGAAATGGTTCTGGGTGAGCAAATGTAGAGTATCCAGAGCACTTATGTATGATTAGTTGTGCCCTCATGTTTTGACATGGGTTTACCTGAATAGAAAAGTCTTAAGTTCTAAGTCCATGTCCTAAAATACATCTACGTCTGTAGTTTTCTTTTATGATACCAATGTGGCTGTTTAGGATTTTGATGTTGGGCTGAGATATCTTATTTCTCTCTTAAAATTTGTTCTTTGTCTTAGAGCCTATAAAACTTTACTAACCTGTGTTTAGATAAGTATTTTCTTTCCTTTTGGTACTCTTGGACTATTTTTTTTTAAAGATCTATTTTATTGATACAAGAACTGGGGTACAGGCCAGATGCGAGGGAGGGTGAGAGGATTCACCAGAGACGGAGCAGGGAACAGAACAGGCAGACTGACGAAATACGCTGCTGAGGGGAGCAGCAGGCAAGACAGGAGAGGTCTGCTTGCCATGTGGGTTGCTCCAAGGCTGGTGGGGATTGAACCGGAACTGCAGAGGCTGCGGACAGCTTCACAGCAGTATGCTCAACCACCTGCACCACCAGGGAGGCCCCACTCTTAGACTATTTTTAACAGGAGGTTTATATTCTTTATTTTTAGAAAGCTCTTAAATTATTATTTCTTCAAGAATTTTCTGCCTTCTAATTTTTATTTTTCTTTCCAGGATCTCTAGTCCATGGATAAAACATAAAATTCCTACTCTCCATTTCACTTTATTTCTTATTGGTGACCTTTTTCATTTTTTAAAACTTCCTTGATAGCTTCTGGAAGAATTCTGTTATCTGATATCCTTGTTCAGTAATTTTCAGCTTTGATGCTGCCTTTTCATCTCAATATTTGTATTTCAAATTTCATATTTTTCACGCTGAGTATCTCCCCTTGATTTCTTATTATAAATCTAAGCTTCTTCAGAATCTTAACATTTCTTGAAGGATATTTATTACACTTAAATTTTCCTCATTCTGTTTATTTTGCATGACTACATTGATTGCTTAGTCTACCACCTTCTTTAATAGCAGCTGTGTTCTTCAGATGTCTCACTCACTTAGCCACTCAAAGTCCTAGAAATCTTGGCTAGTAAAACACAGGAGGGAGGCCTAACAGTGCCTGGTTCCAGGTGCTGGCTTGTGGACTCCAGAAGAGTTTATTGAGAGGGGGGCTGTCTCTCAAGGGGCAGAGTTGCCAGCACCCCAGTTTAGATAACACCGTTTTCGTTTGCTTTCTCCCTCAGGCAACACTGACCACCTTAATGCACTGTCAGCTGAACTCCCTTTTTAAATGAAGATGAACTCACCCACACTTTACCTTATCTGGGCATCTATGTATGCCTTATATATTTGTTGAATGATTTCTAGATGCTAGATTTTTCTCTGCAAGACAGTCAACTCTAGGTATTAATGAATTTAGTCCAAAGATTCTGCCACATTCTTGGAGAAAACTAACTGATCATCTCAAAAACAAACACACACTTATAATTTTCTTAATAGCCATTTCCTAAACTTTCTTTTTGTAAAATTTTTTAAGATTTATTTATTTTTTATACAAGCACTGGGGTACAGTCAGAAGCGCGGGAGGGTGAGAGAATTCACCAGAGCCAGAGCGGAGAGCAGAAGAGGCAGACTGACGAAGTGCACTGTGAGAGGAGCAGCGGGCGGCAGGAGAGGTCTGCGCACCATGTGGGACCCTTGCCTGGTGGCTGGGGTTTGAACAGGTGCTGCAGAGGCTGCGGGCAGCTTTGAAACCCAGCGCTCAATTGCTGAGCCACCAGGGAGGCCCCATTTCCTAAACTTTCAAGTACATAACACCAAAGAATTTATAAAATGTGCAAAGAATAAAATATGCATGCAAAACAATAATTTATACTTTAAAAATCAGCTTTATTAACTGAAAATGTTAAGAAACTACACTACAAATCATGTTAAGATTTCTGCTTTTGATTTCTATCATTAGTCAAGGAGGCAGAATATGCATATAAAATAACTAACACTAGGTAGCAAAAGATGCATCAAATGAGAGATACAGATATTACTTTGGAAATTTAGAGAAGGTCATGTCTCCTGTCAAGGAGACAATAAGGAAATGAGAACTGAAATTTGAATGGTCAGAGGGAACAAAGAACGTCCTCTACAAGGACAGTAGTGCAGATAAAGATTCCTAGAGGTAGTCAGGGAGAGTCTATAGAAATTTAACTAGGACAGTTTTAAAGTAAAGACATCTAGGGCCTCCCCTGGTGGTGCAGTGGTTGGTTGCTGGGCTGCGAATCTGTCTGCAGCCTCTGCAGCGCCGGTTCGATCCCTGGCCCTGGGGCGAGGGTCCCACATGGCACGCAGACCTCTCCAGCTGCCGCTTTGGCTCCGGTGAATTCTCTCACCCTCCGGCACTTCTGACTGTACCCAGTGCTTGCATAAATAAATAAATCTTTAAAAAAAAGAAAAAGAAACAAAGATACTAAGT